TCTTTATTTGAGAAAGGTTGCAGATAAAACCTAATACTCGTACAAGATTATTATAAATGAGCAGTTGAAACTAAAACATTATTTACTCTAACACTATGTTAAAGTGTCTCATCTAAAAATTTAAGTGGCTAAAATGGATAGATTTGTTCTTTAATTACCAAAATTAAAGAAATAAAAGACTCAATTTTCGCAACACAACATCAAAAAATTTTAAATTATGTATCATCTTTCTTTCTTTATCTATCACTCTGATGCAATTATTTCTCACTTTGTTTTCCACTGTGTAACACTTTAAGTTTAATGTATTATCATCTGTCTCAATAGCGTTTATTGGCCATCTGGATGGCTGAAACATCTGAGCCACTCAACAATTTTGTGGTGTCCCAAATTCAAAAAGTGTAGGCTAAAGTGTCAAAGGCAATCAGGGTCCCAAATAATAGGGTTAGTTATTTAAACAGGGTAAGTGACGATTGGGAAAAACAGGTGTATGTGTTAGCATTTATTTGGGTTTTTTATTTTTTTAAACTGTCGAATCATTGAATGACACATGGCCCACCTGTTTTTATGCTTGTAACTCGCCCTGTTTTTTTAGCAAAACTAATGAGGGATTTTTTTGGCGCAATCCAACAAAAAATATACAAAATGATTTTTGCAATAATTTTCAATACTTTTATTAAAATATTAGTCTCATCATTCATACCGTTAATACCTTTCTGTATTTTAGTTTTAACAACATATTTTATGAGATTCACAATTTTTCAACTACATATTTCATCAACTTTCATCGAAATATATTAAAAATATGATTTTTTAGCTACATCAAACGTGGGCTAAAGTTTTGTTTTATTATTCTAAAATATTTTTAATACGTAATTGGCACGATCCTTTTATGTCATCAAAATATAGACACAACAATTAGAATTAATGTTTATAAATGAGTTGCAGTGAGATTTGAGGTCGAGAACTTTAGAACACTCTTTCTAAAAACTGAAACAGTTAAAAAGAAAGATAAATTTAACATTGTTAAAAGGTTATAGAAGAAATAATTGTTGGATTTGGTGCCCAATAGAGTTAGAAACATAACTGTAATTTATGACATTCTTTCTTGTTTATTAATAAATAGAATAAGAGATTAAGTGTTGTTGATCGCTTTGTGACAATAAAAGTTACATGCATAGAGAACAGTAACTTCTAGACCAGCTTATAGACGTTACACTCAATTTGGGTCGAAATTTACTCTTTTTAATTTTCCTAACGTGAACATACTCAAAAATATTTTAATTAATTTTTTTTTGTTCTCCGGTTGAATAGTTGACCTATCTAGACAATGGATCATCTTGTCGATTCTGGTGGAGTATGAACCTGTCATACTGTATTTGTAGTAATTCTACATTTTTTTGAGCTTGAAGTGGGCCTTCGTTCAATTAACCTTTTGGGCTTCAACTGGTGCAGTTCCGAAGAAGTTTGTGTAGGTTGATAAATGGGGCAATTGGACAAATTACAAATAAGGAAATTATAAAAAATTAGATGTTTAAAAATCATTTTTTTAAAATCAGATCAACAATTTATTTATTCAAAAATCAGCTATTATATTAAAACCTAATTGATAACCCTAATTTATTCTCAAACTCTAGTCATTTTTCTTTCTCCTCCTCTCTCTTCCGTCTCTTCTCCTCCCTCCCCCCTAATTTTTTCTTCCCTCCCCCTCATGTTCAGCAGCGCGACGTGGCAGCAGCGTCTCGCAGTGTCGATGCGTTCAGCGGCGCGACGTTGCTGAGTCGGTGGACGATGAAATTATAGTGAAATGGGTGTGTTGCTCGGCGGTGGTTTGTGCGGATCGATGTTGAGGGAATCGGAGAGGCGGCACATCTATGGGTGTGGGGCGGATCTGTGTGTGGCTGTTGTTGGTGGCGGATCTGTGTGTTGTTGGATGTGTGTGGTTTTCTTGATGGTGATGATTTTGGTATTATTGTTGGTTGTGATTTTGCGGTGATTTTCTCGGCGTGGGGATCTGATGGGATCTGAGGTGTTTTGTGTGGTGGTGGATCGACAGTTGAGATGGTGGCCGTGCTTTGTTTGGTGGC